AGCTCCGAGTGCACTTGGTCCACCTCACCATGAGAAGCGTCACGTTCTCGACAAACTCGAGCTAGATCCGCGACGGTCGTCTCCTGGAGATCCCGTGGGCGAGTGAGTTCGGGATTGTGGTGAGGTTGGACCGCTTGATCCAGATCCGCCAGGGTAGCCGTGAGAACGGCTCGAAGGCGGTTCAACTCCTCGCGAGCATCGCGGTGCATGCGCTGATGGGCACTTAGATCCTCCTGAGCCTTCACGAAATTTCGTGTGACCTCGGCCAGAGACGTATGACTGCGATCCCGATCCAGAGTCAGAGTCAGAGCCTCAATTTCTTGGCGGTCCGCTGGGGGGGGGGGGGGCTGGATCCTGGATCCCTGGCTTCTGACACGAGGCGGTCCCCAGAAAATTGCCGACGATGTGCCGTCACCTCTGTGACCTGGAGTTTGTATCGGATGCTGATTGGTGGATGACTTGGATACGGCGCGGCTGTACCCGTGTGACATGGATGGCGACTGTGGGAGAGAAGTGATTTCTCGGGATGAATCCAGCGTCTGACCGCAAATGGGCCCAACTGACTGGAAGTGTGAATCCTGGGAGTGCACGCCCAGAATTTCAAAGAACACTCAGCCCAGCCGCGGACTTTCCCTTACGATGAGTGCCTAAAGTCTGGCGGAAAGTGTCTCTGGAGAATGTATCCCAGAGTACACCTCATCTTGCTGTGGCTCAGAGTGCCCCAGAGGATCAAATTACCCTGGGAATCAACCCACTACCACTGTGACCATGCGCAGGAGGCCACTAAACCCACTAAAAGTGTGGCTTTGAGGAGATACACACGAGTCTGCACTGCAGCAGACTTGTTACCCAGAGTGCCGCACGGAAAACCTAGAGTGCCGCACGATGACCCAGAGTTTACCTCCCTGAGTGCAGGTGACCCAGAGTTCCAAAGATGATTCCCTGGGTTTGGACCATAAATCCAGACTCTCTATACTGAACTTAAGTGTTTCCCGAGCCAACACCCAAGAATCCCCACAGTTCCCCAAGATTCCTCAGAATTCCCAGGATTTCAGAAGATGACCCTGAGTGTCACCTGGTTTTCAGGGATTCGAGTCAGTTCGAAGCCAGTCTGCAATCAAAGTGATGCGTGACCTTGAAGAACCGTCATGGATGCACAGACTGGATACTTTCGAGGAGTCGAGAGGGAGTCCTGTACCATACTAAACCAAGTCTAAGGACCCACAATTGGCACTTTCGACGCCGTGCGACAATGGATTCGCAAGCCGATCGCAAGATTGGACCGCTGATCCCAAGGTATACTCAAGACAAGACATTTTGACCCCAAGCATAGTGAACAGAAGATATTTGCCCGAAGAAGAGAGAGAGAGAGAGAGAGAGAGAGAAGTAGCTGATAAAAACCAAACAGAGTTCCTTTTACCCTGTACTGCGCAAGTGACTTCGGCCAAGCCTGCCGACGGAAATCCGGAGGACCCGAGACTACGACCGCGGGACGCTAAGGGCATATCAACGGCGAAGGACAGCCGTCTGTGTGGGCTCCATCAAACTCAAGTCCAGTTAGGTGGTGACCAGCGACGGCCGTGAGCTTCCTGGGGTGATCCATCTATTCCATATCCTAGTTGGGTCACTTGCTGTGCTCGTGGTAGCCCATTTCATATTATTCCGGAGGGTATTCTGGGGTGCTAGGTAGTCGCCTCCAGGATTTTGTATTGACTGCTTGTGTGAAGGGAAGGTAACTGATAGTGATTGTATTTTCCTCCTTTATTGGAGGTGGTGCGCGTTTGTGTGAGTCTCAGGGGAGCTAGGCCCCTGAATTTCAGACTCGAGTGAGCCTAGTGTGTGTGTGTGACCCACCGTCCAAGGGTCCAAAAGAATAAGTGACGGCTAGTTGTAGTGTTTGTATACTCTGTATTTGTAGGTTTTATCGAGCTAGGAGGCATTTGGGTAAGGTGTCTTCTGAGTTCCAAGTCCCAGAGTTGACTGAAAACCTGGACCCTGAATTCGTGATATTCTGGGTTTCAGGGGATCTGATTATCTGGGTTTGCCTTTTGGTGTGGAGGTGCGTTCTGAAGTAGACGTGCGCCTCCCGCACTTCTTCGAGGCTACATTTTCAACCGGTGGAGTGCCGTTCCGTCGAAGACAAACGAGCCGACAGGGATTACACAAGGTACCCACATCAACCAAGGAGTGTGATTCTCAGGGTTTAAAGCTTTGCGGCTGCGAATCTCTGGGTCTATCTTCTTGCTGTTGACTCTCAAGTCGATTCTCTGGGTCTACCCCTGGGGAACAGTCTTGGGCTGCGCTATACGAACCCCCCCCCCTGGGCGACAAAGGTTTCATCGGCCTCGCCTCACCGTCCACATCCAAGATCCGTGGATCTGACCTGGGGTGATGGGCTCTGGGGTGATGGGCTCTGGATCTGCACCTCTTCCAACATGGCAATCTTCATACACTGACGTAATGCGAATGGTTGACTGCGAGGTCTGCCGACCCCCAGGAACTCCTCGTCACTTGGATCTTGATCCGGCGAATCTTCGGCCTGTGGGCCTCCTCCGGGTACTCGTCCGCTCGTCTCTTCCGGTCGCTGATCTCGTGTCCGTGCCTTGATTGAAGCTTGGAGCTGCAACACCTCCGCCGCCCCGGCGATGTATTCGGCGATCGCCTGACCGGGCGGATCCGGCAGCGACTTGCCCCGTCCACCCCCGGCGCTCTTGGATCTTGGTTCCACCTGTCGGACTTAAGCTGGATCCTGCCTCCGCAGTATTGCACGCGGCGTCGGGTACTCAGGACGCTCCACCATCGGCCCCGTCGGGGTTTCTGGAGGCGCCGCCGCCGCAGATCCAGCCTCCGTCGTAGCCTGCAGCGCGAGATTCTGCCACTCTAGGTAGCGGCGGGATCCGACGGATACGTAACCTTGGACCCGCGGCACTTGATCACCGGCCAGCCACATCCCTACTTGATGGTTCTGGCGCAGCACCAGCTCCTTCTCGCCGACGTTCGTGATCCGAAGGTACCGTGTCTTGCCTGGGCCCTTGATCACCGTTGGTACCCATCGATCCCCTCGCGTAACCCAAAGCTTGTCGTGTTCCGATCCAGATCCTCGCAGGCGCGTGGGTAGCTCCGCGGACTCTCCGACCCCAAGCTGCAGATAGCGATCCAGCTTCACCGACTGCTGTATAGTGGACGGCGGCCGCTGAGTTGGATCCGGACTTCGTCAGGCAGACAGAGAGTCCCGTCAGCTAGATCCAGTCGGATCTCGGCAGGGACCATGTAGTCCATGCCGAGGTTCGCTTCTTGGCCGGAAAGATCTCCTACCCAAATGTCGAAGAAATACACCAGATATCCACCCAAGGTGATCTTGATCCGCGTTCTCCCTTCCGTCGTATACACGTTGTCTCCGATCCCAACGCATTCTTGGCTCTGACTACTGTCGATGAAGCACACAACCTTACGAGCAAAGGCGGTGTCCACGATGGACACCTCGGCACCGGATCTAGGAGTAAGATAGCCTTCTCATTGTTGACCTTGCCGTGGATCTTATCCTGGCGGAACCACTTGCCTGGCGAATGTTGCTTCCAGTACCCTCTAGATTCTTCAGGTAGGAGATACGAGGACTCTGGATCTACAATCCGCCGGCTTACAGCGACACGTCGAGATCTGAATCCCGAGGTGGCTTCGCCTTCCGCTGGTTTGAACCACTGCTCTGGATCCTGCTGCTTCCAATAGCCTTGACGAGCTTCTGGATCTAGGTCTACTTCCACTGTCGCATCGGATCTGGAGTAGTCGTCGGCTTGCCGAAGACTTGAGATCACAGCAGTACGTTTCCCATGAAGATCACATGTATTACCGCGTAGATCCTGTCGTTTGCTAACTGGATCTGCAGATGTCTTGTTCACAAATGCATAGATGCAATATCTAGAACGCTCGGCTCGTACCGGATTCCAACCCGGCGAGCGTCCTAGTTTAACATCCTTTCCGCCATTTCTGGCAGCATCCCCGCATGCTTGGCTGGATTGAACCACTGGCGGATCTGGTTGTAAAACTCTTCCATCGGGCACCGGCCCACGTCATGGAGTTCACCACACCCACGGCATACGAAGAGGTAATGGTCACCTGGATGACCCTTCTTGCCGCACTTCTCACACGTCAACCGCTTCCAGCAGCCGAGATGCGAGTGCTTCTTGGATCCACAGTGCGTACAGCGGCTTCGCTCGGATCTGTCAGCGTGGATCTTGGATCTCTGCTCGCGGGATGTTGGATCTTGCTGCTTCCGGTCTAGAGGGTTCCGTTCCAGGGCTTTCGGCTCTTCCTCGACTGGTTTCGCAAGGTCGTGGGAGGCAGACAAAAATATCCTGCGCACTCGGAGTCCGATCCATCGCTGGATCCAGACTCGGATCCCGAGTCAGGTTGGATTTGGATCGCACGCACATGTTTGGTTGGAGCGCCCGGCGCAGGCGTCGCTGGTGCTTTTTGTCGGTACTTGCCGGATCCATACGCGGACTTCTTGTGTTGGTTCTTCGCCCGATCCAAGGCACGCAGGACTTCTTTCAACTCGTCACCATCCGGCAGTCGGAGCAATGTCAGCCGATCCGCCAGATCCTGATCGCCCAGAGTCTCAATGAAATGGTCCACATGCTCGCGCTTCTCCTTGGATCCACCGTCTTTGATCTTGAGTCGAGCACGGAGTCCGGTGACGTTAAGTCGGTAGAGATAATCCAGCGGAGTCTCGTCCGAACGCTTGCGAGCATGATAATACTGGCGGGCGACGGAGATCCCCAATCCACAGTATTGGGTCTGGAAGCTGCGTAGGAGATCCGACCACATATTGCGTGTGGATCGAGGTAGCTGGCGGTACCAGTTCCGCGCCGATCCAGACAGCAGATCCGCGAACGTCAGGCATTTCTCTTCGTCAGGTGCTTGATCGCGGAGGAATGCAGACTTCACCTTACTGACCCAAGCTCTCGCTCGATCCTCGTCTTGGTCCTTGCCAGAGAACTCCTTCAGATCCGAGACGCCGAGATCCGGACTCGTTGGATCAGGGCTGAACCTGTGGATCCGGTCGCGGTGGTGGCTACTGTAGCGCGCGCTGGGGCCGGGAAGTCAATGTCGTCAGGGTCGGACTCCCAGTGTGGGTCCGGATTCGATGATCCAGTGGACTCCATCTCGACATCTTGGGAATCGTGATTCTGAACCGCCCTCGGTGTCATGGCTGGGGTTAAAGCTCCCTGCTCCTTCAATAACCTGTTCATAGCTGCCTGGAAGAACGACTCCAACCTGCTAGTCGACATGTCGGATCCTGATGTCGTCGCTGTTGGATCCACTGATGGAGCTGACTGCTTCTTGGATCGAGGCTGGGATCGGGGCTGAGGACTCGATTCGCGTTGGATCTGGGCTCGGGCGCGTAGCATCGAGGCTCCCGATGGTCCAAGTGACATGCGTCGCGGCTCCGAAGACGTGTCCGACCCAAGCTCTGCAGCCGACACATAAGGTGACGACGTCCGACCTCCTGTGGATCCATCTTGTAGTGATCTTGGATCCGGGATTGCGGGATCCGGCTTCGGCTGGATCTCGCCTACCATCACCTTCAGCCGGTTCAACAACATCTCCGTCGTGGCACGGAGTTGGATTGGATCGATCTCGTACATCACTGACGCGTCGAACGCTCCAGCCACGAGACCGGCATCCCTCAGCAGCTGCATCAGGCGTTCCATCTCGGGCAAGATTCTTGGACGCTTAACAGCTGCCGGAAGTGTCAGGGGTCCCTGCAGGGCTCCTATCTGCTTCACACCAAACTTCTGCATAATTGGATCCACTGTCAGAAAGCTGCGTAGTTGCTTCTCGCGATGACGGAGCCATGATGCCTCGGATCCATCCTGGGCCGGGGTTTCTGGATCTTCGTCCTCCAGATCCGGGGCCTTCATCTTCCTTCTCGTGGCGGTCTCCGTCGTCTGGGGCTTGTCTGGACGGAAGATGTAGGGTTCTTGTTTGACTGGAGAGTCAGCAAATGCATACCGGTCCTGGCCGGCCTTGGTTTGTTTTGTTAGTGGATCTTGACTTTCGTCACGATCCACCGGGGTCCCCGAAGGGACGTGTGGAGGAGGTTGAGGTTTCTCTTCTGGATCCATGTCTGGATCCACCTCGGTTCCGCCGACAGAGGTCCTCCTTGCACTCTGCCGATCCGTGGATCTTGTTTCATTCAGCAGCGTCGTCGTCGATCCCGACTCCGAAGACGCTTGATCTCCTTGTTCCTTCTTCACTCGAACTTCTTCGTGGGACTCACGTGCACTTGAAGGTAGTTCACTAGGAAGGTTTCGGATCTGGCCAATATATTACTCCAGTCTTACAACCAACACCAGCTCTACTACCGCTAACCTCTCTACGCCGTGTAAGGCCAATGTAGTTCCCGTTTCCAGGCGAGGGAGGAAGCGCTTGCGATGTACAAGGCATATTCAGTTCTGATTTATGCTTAAGTTCGTTCCTATCTCAAAGTCCTATCACCATGTGGATCCTATCATCCCATTTGTGCTTACCGACTCGATGGCCTCCCTTTATCTTCATTGCGTGTCAGCTGCTTGCCCGTCGAGTCGTGTCCACAGCTTCCTGATTACGCCTGAATTCAGAACCACGTTGGACCTTGGATCTTGCATCCTGGATCCACCTGAGTCCAGATCCAGATCCATCTCAGTCTGGATCCAGCGCAGATCCAGATCCATCTCAGTCTGGATCCAGTGCAGATCCAGATCCATGTCGGATCTGGATCCTGGATCCACCCGAGTCTAGATCCGGATCCACACGTTGGATCTGCGTCCTTTCACTGTCACTCTTCCGGATTTGTGCCGAGGTCCAGATCCGTCACTCGTCTCATCACTGCTATAACTCTTCTCCGGGAATTGCGCTTCTCCACATCACCTTGGCTCATATTATTGGTCAGATCTCATCCAATCAGATTCGCGTCAGCCTTCACGGCTGAGGCGTGTGACTCGCCTGCGTCATCCGGGCCCCTTGAGGCCGGAGACTCTTCCTAATTCGCTGAAAAGTGGGTGTCGAGGTCAACACAGTTCCTTCATTAGCTGTCGGCGACAAGGCTGACGCTACCTGCTCTTGCGCGCGTGCTCGCACGCGCCCAGGGCGCTCCGGGACAGCGGCATTTGGCGCTGTCTCGAGTAGGGAGTCGCGCGCACCTGTCGGTGCGTGCGTAGCGGCAACAGGGTCATCGCTCACTGTTCCGCTGTCGCGACCGAAGCGCACGAGAGTGCGCTTCTACCAATCGATGACCGGATCATGCCGTACAAGCCACGGCATGCCCAATACAATGTCAAACTTATCGTCCAGATCCAGGACGATAAAGGTCTCGACAAACTCTTGATCTTGATCTTCATACGTGAAGCGCACGCGTACCATGCGCTTCTCGGTCTTCTCGACGGCACCCGTTGCCAGTCGTACCTCCAACATACTTCGAGGTATCTTTAAATCCTGGAAGTCAAGCCTTGATAAACTTCGCAGTCGAACAAAGTTCTTCGACGCGCCAGAATCTACCAAAGCACGGAAAGAGCCGCTTGCTCTCATCGAGTTCACGTTCAGGATGACAAGTTCAGGCTTGTCATCTTGGTTCTTGTAGTGAGAATGAATCTCACTGGGGGCTGCAGTCCTCAGTGTCGCGTGTCCAAGGTCGACACGCGGGACTGCATTACCAGTAGGGCGCCCCGCGCCTACTGGCGTCCAGCGTTTTTTGTTTGGTTGCGACGGTGCCCGGCACTGCCGCGATAGCCACTCTGCTGGTGCACGGGGGCCGTGCACTCCCGCGCAAAGTGACCGACTCTACCGCAACGGTAGCATCGCACATTGTTTCTATGTGACTGCTGGGGTCCAGCAGTTGCAGCACTCGAGAGGTCCATGGGTTCTGGGCCTCCCGTCCTCACTACCAGGCGTGGCTGTGGCCTCGGCACATGAGCGTGCAGCTAAGCCTGCCGCAGGCTGAACTCCTCCTGTATTGCAAGAGTAATTGCAGCTTCGAAAGTTGCACGTCCGCCAAGGCATGACATGGCGAACGCAACCTTCGCCAACTGGTCGACGATACGTCGAGCCGCAATGGCAGTGTCGAGTTCGACAAGCCAACGGAGGAGAGGTTCACCCTCTCTTCCGACATAGTTGCTCACATTGAGCTTCAGCGATTACGCGCGTGGCATCGTCCCGGACGACACCGCGGTAGTAGTAGCAACATCTCGTTGCTCCTTCAGGATGAAACCCAGAGCAACACCGTGTTGCTCCGTCGGCGTTAGCGCACGCAGCATCGTAGCTACAGTCGCCTCACCAATGACTGTTGACAGTCGTTGGAGGGCCTCCCACTCTGGATCCGACAGGTGGGGACAGTCAGCGCGTGCAACGTGAGTTGCAGGCGTAGTGGAGCTTTCCATGGGCACCTCTGTATCCATGGGAAGGTTCTCAGCTCCGCGTTCGTGCGGTGACGTACGAACTCAGGTAGTCGGTCGTTGGACGGACTACAAAGTGCTACCAGGTGTAATTGGCCTACTTTGGCCCACTACTTTAGCTTACACGTGTGCGCGTGTATGTGAGGAAGCGTAGCTTAGTTTAAATTAGAGTTAATTATACTCGGACCTCCGAGTATAGATCAATCTAAATAAACGATCCAAATAATGTGTTTGGGTTAAAATGAGAACTGCTATTTTTGTTTTATGTTTCTGAATTCCTCTAAATGTAATATTTTAAACTAGGAATCTGCCAACGGCTGGTTGGCAGAATTCCAATGCTATGCATGTCGCTCATTGGCTAAAAGATGCTGCTTTCAGCCACTAGGAATCCTACGTCTCTATGGACCAGTCGTGGGGATCGTAAATGTATGTAGCCTTTGGTGTGTCTACACCAAGGACGAGAAAGTCTTTCGAACCTTTAACATACGTCGAGAGTTACAAGTGATTGTAGCCACTTGTATCAAATTATACTCGTACTTTGTATGGAGTTGATTGTTCCGCAAATTGTATGTTAAGAGATGACACATGGGTATTGAAAACCAGCCTTCCGCGTCACCAACCATCATCATGTTGCAGCGTGTTTAGACGCTGGCGCTTTGGACTTGTCAAGTCCGCGTGGGTATACGGAAAGACTACTGCCTGAGGGACTCACATGCAAGACAGAAGCCGAGCACTTATGCGTGGCACTCCGCACGGGGCCCCGCCGGAATGCGGGGCTCTGCTACTATTGTTTGTGTAGGGTTCACTTTTATATTATTTTTCAGATGGGTTTTGTAGCGACTCAACTTTTGATGGGGGGTTATTTACCTTTGTGCCCCACTTGTGCGTGTAACTCTGTTACAGACGTTGTGTACGACCACTGGGCGTGCTGCATCAGCGAGGCACATGGGCACGAACTCTACATTGATTGGATTCAGCACGCAGTTGGCAAGTGTCACTCACGAGATTTCTTCGCCTTTGAATGCAGGTGACCAACGCAGAAGGACTTCTGTGGCGAAGGTCGTGTTCCAGCTTCCATATTGACAGACTACTGGGACCGTGCTGTTGCAGTTGGGTACTTTTCTCTAGCGTCTAGTCTCAGCCTAACACAAAGGGGGTTGTTACCTACGAGGTTTTCTCCTCCTTAATCCCAAAGTACTCCGTGGGAAAGACTCGTGTCTTCATTGATCTCGTTGCTACTGCTTCCTACTCAACACCTCTGCCTGCGCATCGTGCCAGGTTATGAGCCCAAAGCTTTGAAGCTCTACGGACTTTTTTCGTGAGCCTTGAGAGAAGGAAGCATGTCGAGAACAAGTCCAGCGTCAAGTGCGCCAGTTGGTGCGTCGACCGGACAAGGCGGCGGGTCTTCGCAAGGCTTCGTGGTAGTGAACGTGCCTCCCAGTACTGTGGCTTCTACTGGGGTGTCGACGGTGAACCTGAGTGCAACGGCTCGTGCGATTGGAAGCGCTGCTGTTGGCAGAGTGAGTTGTGGTACTGGTGGATTTGTGAGTGCTGGTACTGGTGGATTTGTGAGTGCTGGTACCAGTGCAGCTACGAGTATCGGTATATCTGTGGGTGCTAGTGGATTGGCTGGTGTCATGAGTGGAGGATTTACGTTTCCAGGACTGGTTGGCAGCTATGGATTGGCTGGAAATCCATCTCCTACAGCGATGTCTGCGGCTTCGATGTGGTCGCCTCCTCCAGCGTATGGGTTGATGACTTCGCAATTGATGGCTCCTCCGCAGTATACAGGCAGCTGGTACGAGACGAAGATGGACAACAAGGCTCCTGTGATGCAAGGTAGCTTTGACTTGTATGCAGAAGAATTGAAGACGTTTCTGGTCAAATTTGGAGCTTGAGGGTGTTGTTGAAGATGCTGCGGCTGTGCGTGCGACTGTGAGTGATGCACAGTTTTGCAGAATGAACAATTTAGCTCGTGGTGCAATTCTCCGAGGTGTTCCGAAAGCAGACGCTGAGCTCATTCGTCACGAGCAGAGCGCCCAGGAAATGTGGACAGCTTTTGTGGACAAGCAGACCAAGAGAGAATACGCGAACTATATCTTCGCTCGACAGCGACTAGTGGCGAGCCCATTTACTCCTGATCGAAGTATGGATGACTGGCTACGAGAAATGCAGCTCTTACGTCAGGAGCTAGTGCACTATAAGCGAGGTGTTTCTGATGAGGAATTCGCAGAGATTATCTTGGGGAATGTGGTGCAAACGCATCGAGACGTCGTCCGTCAGTTCTCGCGGCATTATGACCCGGGGCATAAGAGTGCAACTTCTTCAGCTGCCCAAGTCATGAACGCTCTTCGCGCCGAGTCGGAACTTGATGCAAGGAGTGAAGAGCCGCATGGCAACGACATCTCGTCCGCCGAAGCTGGCAAGAAGCAGGGAAAGCAGCCTAGTCAGCAACCAGGCAAAAGGAAAAACGCGTAGTCGAGGTCGATACAAGGCCAAGGCTAATCCAGTCCGGAATGCAGGTGGTCCCAGAGGAAAACAAGGCGGCAAGAAGAATGAGAAAGAAGACAAACGAGAGTGCTGGAACTGCCATCAAACTGGGCACATTCAGACAAACTGCCCTCGTCCGAGACGCAACGATGACGAATCAGATTCACAGCTTCAGAACGCAAACGCTGGCAGAGTAAGGGCAATTCTGGAGCAAGTGGTGGAAGAAGTGGTGGTAACCAGAGAACAATTGACATGATTTCTCGTGGTGATTCTGACGTGAAGACAGTAGCTACACAGAATTCGATGAACACCAAATTGGAGTGGGTTTTTGATTCTGCTAGTGACTGTCATGTGTGTATTCACGAGGAGTTGCTTTCTGATGTGCGCCAAGATGATGGCCCACTAGTGTTCGACTGGGAAGGCAAGCCATCTCGGAACAGAGGTTGGTGAGGTGGAAATTCGAGTGAAGAATGAAAACCAGCCCGATGAAGCGGCAACGCTCTGTCTCTCGAGTGTGCTGCACACTCCAAGTGGAACAAACAACTTGCTTAGTCTGGACAAGTTGGAGCAAGCTGGCTGGGACTTTGTCAAGCCCGAGAACCACACAAGTGCTTGGCTTCGTAAAGGGAATCAACTGCTCAAGCTGGTAAAAACTCGCGGCCGATATCGATTGCAGTCCACGGTCATTCCGAAACAGCGGATTGACGCAGTGACGCGCGAGAATGAGCAAGCTCTTGTTCGATGACACGCTCGACTAGGACATCTGAATTTTGGAGCTCTGCAAGAAATGTCTAGAAATAAAACTGTGAAAGGCATGGATGTTGCAGGGAGTGGCTGTGTACCTCCGGATCATTGTTGGACGTGCGTGCAATCGCGGATGAAGCGAATGTCTTACAAGAAAGTGAAGACTTCACGATCCAAAAGGCCCTACCAGAAACTCATGTCCGACATGTGCTACGTCAATGAGCTGACCTACGATGGCTTCAAGCACTTTCAGCTCGTACAAGACGAAGCAACGCGTTATGTGTGGGGATTCCTGTTGAAAAGGAAAGACCAGTCTGACGATTTGGTGATCAAGTATGTCGCGTGGCTGCTGGCTCAAGGACACAGAATTGAAGTAATTGGGTCCGACAAGGGACGCGAACTCCTGAATAACAACTTGAAGGCATTTTTGAGAGCTCGTGGAATTGAGTGGACGTCAACGCAGCCCAGAGGAGAATGGGTTAGTGGAGCATATGAATGGGGTTGTATGTCTCGAATGAAGAGTTTGCTAACGATGGTGGACATGCCTATCCTTTTGTGGGGAGAGGCGTTCGCATTTGCTCTTGAGGTGCTGAATATTAGTCCGAGCAGTGCATTGGCGGGTGAAACTCCAAACACACGGCGCTTTGGTGAGCGACCAGAGCTTTCTAATTTGCGTACGTGGGGTTGTTTGGCTTTTGCTTTCACGCAAAAAGTGTAGCGCAAGAGTAAGCTGGAGAATCCAGGGAAGCCGTGCATTTTCCTAGGCTACGCAAAGAACTCTATCAGTTATCGTGTGCTGGATTTGCGTTCGGGCAATATTCAAGAGCTAAGGACGGTCGAGTTCGCGGAAGACTGGACGGTGGAGCGCAGCTACGTGGAGAAGCTTCTGCTCAACCGATTTTCACGCGGTAAATACAAGCTCCCGTCAAAGCTTCCATACGTTCGACTGGGTGATTTAACTGCACCGAGTGCTTCGATGTCTTTTGGCATGGCGTCGGAAGCTGAGCCCAGTGGAAAACGACATTGCAGTGAGGATCTTAGGGATCGTGACTCAAGTACTGTGGTCGATGCTCCGACCGCTGTTGGCGATCCTGCGTTGGCAAGCGTGCCTCCGAGCGGAACGTTGAGCGCGAATCCGTCGAGATCAGCAGAGGCTGAGGTTCGATCGTCGCGTGCGCGCGGACTACGCGAATGGAGATATCTGCGTGACCAACTGGATACTGATGGAGACGGTGGAGTTGGAGCTAACGGCGGCGTGGCCCTGTCTAACAGCAGTGGTTCAGCACCGAATGAGGTCGATGGGGATCTGTCTAACCGCAGAGTCTCTGTACCTTTAGCGAGTCCGCTAGCTCTCAGGAATTCAGATGGGGATCGCATGGAGATAAGTGACAGTGACTTTGATGATGATGATGATGAAGCCACTGAGACTGCAATTGGAAATGGAGAACCGATGCAAAATATTTCCCGCTTCGTGGGGGGAGATAGAGAGGATGATGATGAAGCAGCAAATAATCCAAGTGCATCGTTTCGAAGATCAACTCGTGTTCGGCAGCAGAATGTGAGGTTGCGTGACTACGAGGTTGATATCCCGGCAAGCCTTGTGATTCATGCCGTGAATGAGCTGCTCGAGCCGACCTCAGTGGAGGAAGCTCTGAGCGCCCCTGGTGCGAAAGAGTGGGTTGATGCTCTCGACACGGAGTACAAGGAGCTGCTGAGGAACCATGTTTGGGAGTTGGTGGACCGGCCTGATGGAGTTAAGATCCTGAAGAACAAGTGGGTCTTCGTTCGGAAAAGAAATGCACAAGGTGAAGTGTGCAGGTATCGGACGCGGATCACTATCAAGGGTTGCCAACAGGAGTATGGCATCAACTGCTGGGAGACATACGCTCCAGTAGCAAAGGCTGAGTCTGTGAGGTTTATCCTCCTCCTAGCATTGGAGCTGGGTCTGTTGTGCCGCCAAGTGGACTTTGTAACTGCATTTCTAAATGGACCGCTGGATGGTGTCGACATCTACATGGAGCAACCGGACTACTTCAATGACGGTACAGGTCGCGTGTGCAAGCTCAAGCAGAGTGTGTATGGCTTGAGGCAAGCGCCACGGATCTGGTACAAGATGCTCGACAAGTACCTGCGGAAGTGTGGTTTCAAACGCACGAAGATGGACGCTGGTGTATATGTGAGGACAGTGGGAGAGAACAAAGTGTGACTGTCTACGTTGACGATCTTCTGATTGTTGGTACTGAGACCGACATTGAGATGGTGCTGGGTGAGCTCAGCAGTGAATTTAAGATTAAGGATCTCGGTGAGGTGAAGCATTTGCTAGGAATGGAGATCACGTATGTGGCCGGGGTTCGTGTTGATGATTTCACAGAAGGGCTACACGGAAAAGATTCTTGCTCGCTGCAAGATGGTCAAGTGCAAGCCTGTTCCTACGCCTCAAGTGAAGGGTAAATTTCCTATGCCTGGAGACCCGGAGCGCGAACCTGTCTGTACCAATCCGGATCCAGAGGTCGACTACCGACCGATTGTTGGCTCTCTACAATATCTGGTGCAGTGCACACGCCCAGATACAGCCAACGCGGTACGAACACTGGGGAAGTACCTCAATTGCTTTACTCGAGAGCATCATGTGTTAGCGAAGAGGGTGCTGCGTTATCTACGAGGGACGTCGGACTACGGCCTCTAGTGGACGAAGAAGAAGAAGACCACAGAGCAGAGGATGCAGATCGATGCGTATGTAGATGCGTGGAGACCTACGAAGCCGGAAGTACAGATCGTGGCTTTTGCGGACGCTGATCTAGGAAATGAGAAGGATGATCGCCGTTCAATTACTGGATACGTGCTGCAAATGGAGGGATGTACGTACGCGTACTCGAGCCACAAGCAGCGGCTGATCACGGACGATACGTGCAGTTCTGAGTTTGTAGCTGCTGCAGAGTGTTCTACAATGATCAAGTGGACACTCAATCTGTGCAAAGAGCTTGGACTGTGTCGCAAGCAGACAGTTTTGTATGATGACAATCAAGCAGCAATTGCTGTCATCAAAGCAAACACCGGAGACTTCAAGGTGAAGGGCGTTGATCTCAAGTATCACAAGATTCGTGACTACTATGAGAAGGGTGAATTTGCTTTGGAGTACTGCCCATCTGAGGAAATGCTGGCAGATTTTGACGAAACCGCTTGGCCCCACGCAGTTCAGAAGACTGCGACAGCTTTTGAACGTTGAACCAATGTCTGACAAGCGACCTGTGTCTGGCAAGCGCAAGCGTGTGAGGACTGATGAAGAAGGTCGAGATTGAAAGGCAAGGATGGTCACCAGCAACACGAAGTGGGAGTGACAGACTACTGGGACCGTGCTGTTGCAGTTGGGTACTTTTCTCTAGCGTCTAGTCTCAGCATAACACAAAGGGGGTTGTCACCTACGAGGTTTTCTCCTCCTTAATCCCAAAGTACTCCGTAGGAAAGACTCGTGTCTTCATTGATCTTGTTGCTACTGCTTCCTACTCAACAACTCTGCCTGCGCATCGTGCCATTCAAATGGACAATTGACATTTTGTCTTACCACACTGACCCAACTAGCCTGGATGTTGTTACAATTTGCGTCCACTGGCATGCGAATTGGACCCGTTGCGTGAAAAGTTGCTTCCTATGCAGCTCACTCACGTACGGCGCCCATCGGTCATAAGTCACGTCGATCACCCACCTCTGTAAGCTTCACGCAGTACCCGCTGTGGTCGATCCACTCGACGTCGTCAGCGCGTTCGACGGCGCGATACCGATCGTTTGCTTCTGAACTGGCGACGATAATTGTGAACGTGACGGAGCGCTAGCCGGTCGACTCAGTTGTCGGATATCGCTGCGTAAGTTGAGTGTGACTTCTGGCCTGGAATGTTTACCACCATTACGCGGCACTCGTCTCCGAGGTCCTGAAGCACTTGAGTGTTCACAGCGTGACGTTGGCGCTGACTCCAGTTGGGAGGCGTGACGACGAGAGGCCACGGGTTGATATCTGAGTGCGCCACCATGTTATCCGCGTCGAGGAGAGAGCACTGCATCCGAGTCATGAGACGGATATACGTGAACGACAATTCGTCCTGCGCCATACACTCGGGAGGAGCTGCGCGATGCACTGTCCAGCCGAGTACGTGTCCGACGGAAGGAGCTCTTTCGGCGGGGATGCCTCGGGTTCGATGCGCCACGGCGTCAAATTCTGCTTGGTCTCAAACACGTAGCGGGACGTTTTGCTCGCTTCATACACGCTCTGTGGGCCATTCTTAGCAACTGGAGGCGGCACACTGCCTCAGCCATAAGCGACAAAGAGTGCTCGGACTGCTGCAGTTTCAGTAGAAGGCGAAGGTTCTCGCTTCGAAGTGCGTCGTTCTCGAGCGCTAACTGGCGGAACGCGTGGGGGAGCTCAGCGTGGATCGATGCAATGCCTTCTCTTCTTGGAGGATCTTGCTACTGCGCTGTTCAAAGCACTCAGTCGTCGCTGGACCTCGGTCTCCAAGCGTTCTCGCTCGCTGCGCAGATGTAGTAGCTCGTTCTTCTTGCGTGCGCGGAACCGCAGCGAGTTGTTGATGCGCTTCTGCCGCCTCCACTCGTCGCGCACTTGAGTCGTCCAGTGCTCCGTTGTCTGCGCGGCCCAGCTTTCAAGGTGCACGACCGAGTCGACGTCGCTCACGGCGGTGGACGGACAACTCGGCGACGCCATGACGCTACAATATTGTGGTGTGCAAGAGCTTGTCTGCCGTGCGAGATACCGTACGCCTCTCGGGCCTTGTGGCTGATGAGTATTCGCGGCGGATGAGTATCGGACTTTCGCGTTGGTCGTCAAGACGAGACCCGAGCCACCGACAACGTGTCGAGGATGAAGACTCGCTTCCTCTTAGTGCGGAATTTCGCTCCAACCACGTGAAGCTTCCTCGCCTGCCGGTACCGGTGAGAACCATGAGACGCAACCACCTCTACCGACCGTACTGTATTAACGCACAGTGTAGAGTCGACGAGATCTGCTAGCGTCTCTCGTCACCATATGTGATCGTTATCCGGGCTGGTGTGGACAAGACAAGAACTGTCTTACTCATTCCCGCCGTGATCACCGTCGAAACGAACTGACCAGAAATCGAGGCGAGTTGAGTAGACTTGAGTCGTCCACGCCATGACAGGAGCGCTTAGCTGTGGCCAGGCCAACGCCCTCACGATGAACACCAACGACCCGCTCGCGCTGCTCCAAAGCTGGGCCGCAGAGACGACCGACGACTGGACCAAGGAGGTGCAGAAGGAGGTGAGGCGCCAGAAGCGCATCCAGACCTTTCTTCGCCTCCGCGCGCGCAAGAAACAAGAGCTGGCTGAGCTGCGGTATGAACGCGATCGGCTGGAGACCGAGGTCCAGCCACGTTTTGCCGCGATGGAGATCGTGGCGAATCAAGAGCGGACGGCTGAAGTCGACATGAGCGACGCAGTCCGTCGCCTTGCACTCGAGTGTGGTAACTTCCGCGCGGAAACCCTCGAGCTCCAGTAGAGCCTTCTGCAGTATAAACGCCTTGTGTCGCTATTGGGTGGAAATCTGGACGCCGTTGTCCCGATCCGGGCCGTCGACTGTGGTTACTTGAGCGTTCGCGACGCGAGCATGATCTCGCACTGGGTTTCCTGCGCTGTCCAAGACGAGCCAGGGTGGCGGGTGTGTTTCTCTCGCCGCGAGCCGTCGTTCTACTTCCACCCGTTCTCACGACCGGAGTTCGAGTCAAGCTTTGAAGTCTGCGACAGAATGTTGGCCGTGAATTTGCCGTGCTCGTCGATCCAAGGTTCATTGTTCGGCTGGACTGTACGACACGCGCCTTGAGCTCGTCGAGAGGACAACTCGAGCCTTGTTCACGCTAGGTTTACGACGCGCGTAGGCTGCAGTCTCGATGGCGCGGACGCTTTCATGACTTCGGTGCCTGTCGATGCTGCTAGTGTGCTTATCATCCCGCCGGACGGAAGTCACCCGCCGCGAGATCTCGTCAGCATGCAGGTGCTGCAGGAGTTTGACAAAAATCGCTTTGTCATGGTTTGCAACATTCCAGGCCAAGTTCACACCCGCTTTTCCAGGTAGCTCGCCGACTACCATTGACCGACAAGAACGGGAGGCGTTCAGTCACTTACTCGATGGTTGTTGCTGATACCGAGGCTCACCGACGAAATCGAGCGATTGAAGTGCCACATCCGGACGTTCAGTGGGCCCACGGGGCCGGGGTGTGCATGAAGTTCACGGAAGTGAATGATACTACGATCGACGTTAGCAGCGACTATTGGGCTGGATGTGAGGACCCCGAGCATGCCAAACACTATTGTGTATTGTGGGGAGAGTACGTGTGTCAGTGGTTACAGTTCGTAGCGCCGCCGAATCTACTCGAGTCCAGATGAAGACGTTGCAAGAATTGCGTCTTGACCTCTCCACGCTGGACGAGGACATACATATTTTTAAATCTAAGAAAATGTTTGATAACATACATAATTTTATAATGCAATGCTTGTGGCGAATGACACGAAAGTCTTTTGACGAATTCAGGTTCGATTTACATGTTCCTAGCTAAACATGGTCATGTAAATATTTGCGAAGACGGAAGATCGAGCCAAGAACTAAAATTTAAAATTTACTGCATGTACTACGTTCAGCAAAACTTGAGCAAATTTGATGAGAGAGTGAGCTGCTCCCACCTTGTGACGATGCGGCCAAACATCGTAATGTGACCGAGCGCTTCCTGGTTGCTTTTGAAGCAGCCTAAGCTGTTGAAGACAGCGTCCACTGCTCCGCCGTCTGCTTCGATCAACGTCAGCGAGTACCCCCCCCCTCTCATCGGTGACCCAGATACAGTATTGGGCCGCGGGGTCAGCGTCACGACTACGAGCATTCGCCTCTGAGTCTGCAACCACATAGTAAAACTTGTACACGCGCTGTCCGTCGATCAGATCGAAATTGGATCGCTTGACCAGACACATGTAGCGGTAGTTGGCCGCTCCTCCCGAGTAGTAGCGAACGATCACGGAGGAGGCGTCGTCGAGAGTCTGCAGCGTCTGGATAGAGATGTCCATGTTCAGTCCCTGATCCTTCGACGTAGGCATGATGGGCCATTTGCTGGTACCGTCCTCCCTGCACATGCCGTGAAGTACCGTGTCAATGGAGCGTTCAATTCTTCTGGAGCAGCGCACGTGATCGATGATCCAGTCATTCCCTTGGACTGCAGCACCATGGTAAATGTTCCAGCCGAGGAATGTTCCAGCACAGACCAAGCTCGATTCGCGAGCGGATGAGTTGGTGTCGTGACGGCTCAGAACCGCGTTGAATTCTTGCCGAGAGAACGGATGGAAGAAGAAGGACGGGTCTCCGCTTGGGAAATCCACGCGACGGCCAGCTTGCTCGGTAATTACCTGCCATTGCGAGTTGATGCAGCGGACTGTGACGGCACTGGGCTCCTCGATTGGTTCAATGGCCCTTGAGTGACGCTCGTGGGCTGCGGCCCTTTGGATGACTTGTAGGTACTTGAGGTGGCGTGAGAGCTCCTGTCGAAGCGCGACGTTCTCGTCACGTAGCCCTCCATGCTCCAGAACAAGTCGCTGCAACTCGCGCTGAAGTGGCGGCAGGTTTTCCGTGTCGAGGCCCCTCCGTCGCAGCTCCACAAGGCGTTGTTCGAGCAACTGCTCGAGTTGTTGGTGCTCCTCCAGCATACTCTTCTTCTCAGCCGCTCGTTTGTTGCGGAATCGTGACATGCGAGCGCAATGGAGTTGCAACTTGCGCATGTCCTTGAGCTCTTGCGGCCACTTTCGCACCGTGCCGCGAGACTGCACAGAGTCCAGCGCCGGTAGTATCAGTGGCGGGTCAGCAGAGTTCATTACGCAGTGGGACTGTGGGAATGAGTTAGCGTAAATTTGACAATGAGTGATCCCTGCGTCACGCAGTGCGTGGCCTCCGCGGTGCGATGATGGCAGAGGTTCCTTCAATTCATCCGCGATGAGTGGCTCAACTTCTAGCCTCACGCCACGCGTTACATAACGATGCCGCGCAAAAGCAGGAGGTGGTCGAGGGCACGGTAACCTATCGTTGTGGTCGGATACAGAACGGACCTGATCTGTGGTCGGGTTTCTTGCATTCTTTGGCATTCTGGGGGATGCACCCCCAGACCCCCGCATAAAGAAAACTAACTCGAGTTGCGGCAACGTGTCCGCTCGCTGGAATGTTCGGCGCTGGGCCCGCCTCCGCAAAAACCGCGCGGGTTTGCTGCGGCCCCTCGGTACAGTAGAATCTCAAATGGGTCGTATACAGAACGGACCTAGCATTTTATATGAGTTTTTGTATGCTTTTGGTCAGATGAAAACACATGTTCTAGCGGAAGCGAGGTCGCGTAAAACAAGTTTGTCAGCGCTCTATCAGACTCTTAGCACTACACGATTTTGCTATGATACACTTGTCGAAGACTGAGGTCGTTCCAACCGAGATTAGCTACTCGCTATTGAAGGTGATCTTCGTTAAATACTTTAGCAAGTCCGAATAGCTTAGCTCGGGGCGTAGGATTGATCTAATCGGTAGTTTGGCGCTATATCGGAAATTTCACAATAGACCTGGGAAAATGCTCAATGACTTCGCAACCACCCAGCACGCTGTACTTGTCGGTCAAACTGGACACTTCTGGCCTTACTTGGCGCTGGTCTCGACGAGTCCACTTGTGTACTTAATTAAGTAGCCTGGTTAACTAACAAACGACATGCCTGCATACAGTGGAGCTCGAGCGCCCCGCGGAGAAGCAGTCGACAGTTGCCTGGTTAATTCAGCTCAATGAAGCCCAGCCTGCGTGGCGTGCGTCTGCTGCTAGCCTGTCGCGAGCTTCGATGCGAAGACGCGTGACCGCAAGCGTTGCGGTCCTCATCCGCAGCATGTTCCGCATCCGTCGCGACATCGAAGGAGTAGGTGCAGGAGGGATGCTAATGACGCGACAGTGTTTAGCATCTTAAATAAGTGAGCCTAAATAGTCTACCCGAAGAGATTAAGCGACCTTGTGTGTGCCATGCACTCGATTAGAACCGAGTATGGTCGTAAAATACTGAGTGACTTCGGAAATATCAAATCTCCGTTGCTTTGTTGCTTTCCCCACCATTTCACTTTGCAACGAACCAAATCACTGAGTGGGCACAAATACAACAACGAATTTCGCAATAGATCACCTACTCGGTTTGAGTTCTATTCTGAATTAATTAATCGAGGCTACTGTAGCAGTACTGTACCCGGGCAGCAATGGTCGACGAAAAAGCCTGGGTCTGGCTTCACGAATGGGCCGAGTCGACGACGCGAGCTTGGACGAAGCAAGCCAAGGCAGAGGTGAGGAGGCAGAGCCGATGCCAGAGTATGGTAAGGTTGCGGATCGCGAAGAAGGACGAGTCACTGCATATGCGCCGAGAGCGAGAGCGTCATGAAGAGCAAGTCAAGAGCCACTTGGCCGTCCTGAACCGCTCCAGTTTAGATCAAGATCAAGACATCGGCACCTCAAGCAAGCGCGAGCTCCGCTGCGCAGTCCACCGACTGGTCCTCGAGAGCGACACACTGCGGACCGAGAACGCGGAACTTCAGGAGAAACTTCAGCAACAGCAACACTTCCAGTTTCTGGTTCACGACATTGCGGTGGACGTCAGTGCGAGATCAGAAGATGACTGGAGTCTCAGCGTCCAGAATATCGACACGGCCAGCAAGGAGGTGTGAAGGAGACGAAGGCTGGAGGACGGCTGGAGGGTGGAGTTCCCTAACGGGGAGCCCTCCTTCTACTTCCATCCGTTTACCTTGTCCGAGCATCAAGGCGCAGTGGCATCCTGTGAATATCAAGCCGCTCAAGGCTCTCAGAACATGCCTGTGACTGGGCAGTTGTTCGGCTGGACAGTGCACCGCGCCCCTCTTTCGCGTACGACAGGAGACGCCTCACTCCACGGCCGAATCAGGCTCACTGCACGCGTTGCGTGCTCGCTTGCTGTCGCGGATGAGGTGATTGCAGGGAGAGACCTCAACTCCTGGCCCCTCGTGTTCACGCCGCAGAACTGGAGCCTTGCTCAGCGGTCCAACGTGAGCACACAAGTTCTTCAGTCGTTCGACAGAGACTCCCACGTCATGATGTTCAGCATTCCTGGCCCAGTCCACACTCGCTATTTTCTGCTCGCTCAACGACGAGAAGAGGTGGAGTTCAACGGAAAGCGCTCGTTCACGCTGATCCTCACGATCAGCGATTCATGGCGCAATGCCAAAAGCCGAGCAGCTGAAGAATCTCAGCCGTATGTCCAGTGGATCCGTGAAGGCAGCGCGTGGGCAAAGTTCTCTGAAGTGGACCAAACTATGATCGACGTCACGTGCGATATCTGCGCGCAGTTTGACAGCGAGCTGCATGCGCAACAAGTTTTCACTCGCTGGATCGAGTTCGTCTGCGTCTGGTCTCGGGGGATTATGCAGTCGAAATTGATGGGGTCGAGGAAATGAAATGGGTATCTGCGGGCGATAAGGTGCTGAGCAGCATGTACTCGAATCGATAGGAGAGAGGACCGCGACCTTTGTGCATGCGTAGAGCTCAGATTGGTAGGAACCTCCCGAGTCGAGTCACTACATAAAGCCTCGAGTATCCACCTGCAATTTGGTCCTTTTGGCGAGTTGTACCACCGCTTTGACGATAAGAATTTGTCATCCTGACCGCCATACGTTTAGGTTACGGTGTTCAACGAGATCAACGGAGATTTGAGATTGTCCCGTTCAAGCAATTGAGCGTTGGAAAAACTGTACACGAGGGGATAGCGAATACAAAGAGTAAGCGGCGTGTGGGTGAACTGTTAGCAGTGCATGCACAGATTCACAGTACAGTAATGCAAGTACAGGGTAGCGTTTTTGAGTTGATTCCTTCCTGTAACTTACGTGCACAACCCGATAGGCATAATTCCGGCGAGGCTTTGTTCCTACTCTCTGCTGGCTGGGATCGAGCAATCGAACAGGCGTTTTATCTCAGGTTGTCAACCTTGATCGCGTGAAAAACGTTGTCCCAGCTGGCTGCCAGTCATCCGAGGCCATGACTTCGTTCATCTGGAGGGGGATTATGGGACGACTTTTGCGAGTGCCAGATTGAGCTAAGTCAGCCTACGTCACGCCGTGTAAGCTTTTGCCAGTATTAATAAAGAGGTTGCCACAACTCTTCCGACACCGTCACACGCAATACGAGGGGCTCATTACATGTTGGCATCAAGTACAGTGGATTTCGTGGCCGCTGCCAAGTTCCTGGTGGACAAAACTCTCGAGGGTGAAATCCTAAACGACAAGGAGCAGAAGCGCCGTGAGCACCGTATCGGCATGGTGGCCTTCCGCCGTAAGAGGGATGTTGCGGGGCAGCAAGACCCGCCCCGACCTCGGTATTACTAGCCTAGTGAGCCGACGAGGCGAGCGGAACGGGTGCGTAACAACTAAAAACAATGTAAGAAATTGTATCCGCGACCTGCGCGGCGGATACAATTTCTTACATTGTTTTTAGTTGTTGGGTCGTAAAAACAATAGCAACACAATTATTATGGTATTGTCCCACTACAATTATATATTATTGGAAGTTCATGAAACCAATACAATATGATATTGCCCTAATAATAGCAATACAATATCAAAAACTATGAATTCTGAGGTTGGGCGTTCATATATGATGAAAATGCTATAATAAACTATTATAATCTCTATTTTTCGGGTTGAGGACACAGCCTTGGGTTGCGAGGTTTTGTGGAGCAAGCGGTGTATACTCAATAGCGCTTTACCGGACATCAACACTTCCCAAAACCGCCCTGGAAACAGTACAGGGCTATTGTAATCGTCATCAGCCTCCACCTGTATTTTCTCACTGTTTAGGTTGGCCTGACACCTCAGTAATAGTTCGATATCAGCCATGGGACGTTTGCGTAAAGTTCGCTTGAAGTTTGCGGTCTTCCTGTCACATTTTGGCAATGAATAGTTCATGTCAAGAATGGTAAAATATACTTAAATTGTTCCAATTGTTATTATTAGTTGCCCTCATATTGCCGTTATTACTACTGCAGCTTTGGCCTCGCAATACAATTTCATACTGTATTGCCCGACCCCTGCCGCCGCGTAGCGGCGGCGCTCGGCTAGTCCTAACTTAGGACTCCTAAGAAGCAATAATAATAATAATAATAATAAATTCAGAGAGTACCGTCAACGGTAGACTCACCAAAAGATGTTCTCTGTTATCTCACACGAATCATCGGGTATGTATTCCAGCAATGCTCCCTGCATTCTTCGTTGATGTGCATCGAAGACTGCCGAAGAAATGTTTGCCAGCAGGTCCCGCATTTGCAGGCATATATGAGGGACGCAAGTATGCAGGATAGGGACCCTACCTCAAGATGAGTTGAGTTGATGGTTGCCGAGTTATTAGGCAATCATAATACATGTACAAGTGCATGGGTACCTAGTAGTTTTGCGCTGAACTAAAAGAAGCCGGCAAGATCGCATCTCTCTGGCCAGCGTTTACTGCCGCAGTCTGTCAGCGTTCCCCAAGCGCTTAGGGCATGTGCCACATGATCATTCCTCAGTCTGATAAAGATGGCGCTGAAGGTGTGAGCTGGCCTCGCAATGAAGTGCCATGCTGTAAGGGCTCGATGGTGTTTGTGTGCAGTGCACACAAACACCACTGTGCACTGCGTTGCCTGAATTGGCTGCGACGGCGCGACAAGAAGCAGGTCTCAACCGATCACGTCAAATCCTTATCATGGGATGTAAAGTTACAGTATCCTTGTTACAGATTAATGACTTCTCGATAAGCAACCAAAGTTCTGACTATGGAGCTAAGAAAGACGTAAGGTATGGGTGACGTCCAAGCTTAAGGTGTCGGAAGCGCTGGGTGGTACTTGAAGAGCTCCCTCGGCGTTTGTGAAGAAAGCGCGCCTTCGTATTGACAACAACCGGTTGCCTTTATTTTGGTTCTTACGCAGATCAGGTCCAGGATTTGAACATGCTGATTGTGAGACCAAATCGAAAGACCTGAGCCAAACATTCACAGCTTAGGATCATGACATGACTTGGTTCCTCAGCGCGTGCCCCGTTCGGCTCCCTGTTCTAGCAACACTTCGTTGTGCTCTCTTTAGGTGAAAAGGTGTGCATGAGGTATTTGGCAGTGGGTTGTGTTCAAAATCATTGCAACTACTGCTACTTGTACTATCAGCTACTAATCAAACATGCCTCCCTTCCCAACTTCTCTTGACAGCAAGATTCATTAGTTGCAATAGCACACGCTGTTCATGCTTCTATGGGTGGTGCTGAATTGTATCCCATTCGCGACTACTGCACTGTACACTGAGCACTGTAGGTGCCTTTCAGTCAAAGTCGCTGCGCACACCTGGGCTGGTTTGAAACCAGTAATTTCCTTTCACACTCTCAACATCGATACTCCACAGGTAACTTACACACACAACTCGTTAACTTAGTTTACCTACTATCACAGCATGTATGTGGTACATATACTTTAGAGTTGTGTAGTCTAGCTAGCCACAACTTGTGGTCTCGTGGCCCACAAGACAAGCCTCACTCCTGCTTGGCTGGAAGAAAAAAGCGCTTCAATTCGTAGCGAGGTACCACAGCCGCAGCACGGTAACAACCTCTCCGAAGCTAAGACGCTGCACTGCGAACAACCCTGGCCGACCAGCAGCAGAAGCAGGACCAGCAGCAGCGCTTGAGCGTCTTCGAGCCGGGCTCTCCGACTGCGCGCACACCTCGTCGGGCTCAGCGTGGACATCACGCACCGCCTGACGCGCGCCATGGGGGTGTCGTGGGCATCGATACGCGGGTGCCAGGCTCGCTCACGGTGACGGCCAAAGTGCGCGCTGTGGCGCTCGACTCGGAGCACGGCAGCGGCGAGCTACGCGGACTAGAACAGCAGGAACAGCAGCAATGCACCCGGATAAACTCCGTGGACTTGACGTGCTCCGTACTCACAGGGCATCTAGAGTGCCTTCGCCTGCACGAGTGCACGCACCGGTCGGCGCGTCACCTGTAGTTACCGCGACGGACGGCGTCTGCCTCAGAACCACGTCACTTTCCGTGTCTTCGACCATCAAATAGCACAGCTTACATAGCGCAGCATGTCGTGCTGCACGTGGTTCAAGGCAGAGTTGACCCGTCGAAGCCATAAGCCACTTCCTGGCGGTCGATCGCGTACTCGTCGTTGGAGACGACATGGCTCAAGACAGCTGACTTCATGCTGAAGTACACGCCCGGCCGTCCGCCCCACTTGCGCTTGGTAGTCCGACATGCTGATCTTGCTGGCGTCCTTCACCAGCATGCTGTAGTGCAGCTGCCAGCTTCAGATCGGACGCGATGTTCTTGTTCTTGACCTTGAGGCTCTTCCACGCGCTTGACCTTCAACCGTGGTCACCGAGGAGAACACAATCGCCCAACCGCACCGCAGCCGATTGTCGTGGACAACGAGTCGACAATGGTGTCGTGTTCGTCCATATGGAGGTACAGCTTCATCACGTCGCCGCAGCCAGGGGCGTTGGAAAATATGATTGCGATTGTAATATTGTCAAGATTGTCAATCACAATAATTGATTGTTGTGTGATCTCAATCGACAATCCCGTTCCCATATTGTCCCTTTACTGATTTTGAGCCTTTGCCAGTGATCCGGTAGAGCAATATGCAACGCCAAGCCCATGGAACCGATCCTAGACTCATCAAAGCCTTTCTGTGTCATCTGCTACTTCGAAATGCGGAAATGAGGGGTCATTGGGTGCCCAAACGGGGTACACGCTTAACATGATGAATACAAGACCCAACATTGCTTTTTGCCAAGGCTTTTGAAGGTTAACACGTACGCAATCGAATAAGCAAAGATCTTAGGGCGATAGCGCCGCCAAACGAGTAAAAATATGAACCTAGCAGAGGAAATACAAGCGAGAACTTAGATTGCAATCTTTTGTTTTTGGGATTGTCAAGATTGCAATAATTGATTGTTTCAGATCTGAGTCGCCAATCAATAAACGATCTATATTTCCACAGCCCTGGGCGTACACAGAGCCCGTGCCCACATCCTTGGCGTTCTTGTCCACGGCGCTCACCTTGCGCGGGTCGTCGTAATAGTCGACCAGGCCCTCGCAGCACACGGGCATCTGCGAGCAGTGCTGGCCCAGCCGAGATGGCACTTGGGTAGTCTTGAGAGTCGAGCGGACAGCGTTGGGGGTCGTCTACCGACGGATTCCGAAAGAAAAAGTACGCGATCAAATCTAAGACATGTTCTGCATAACACCCATTTAAGAGGGACTGATTAACTGGCTATCAGCTTTTAGGGAACACTGTACCATCGGTTAAAGAGGTTACTTCAACAGCCTCCCTACCTCTTTAGATCGAGTTTTGCCCAACTAATATTATGTAGTTTAGCAAGGCACCAGAAATAGTGACAGATGATTCCTCAGTTCCAAAAAGACCAGTGCCGTGGACGCCCGCGTTTGCTGACGGTCCTTCGTGCTCGTAGTTTTGCTACGAGTGAAGGACCGTCACGCTGGGCACGCCAGGGAAATGCTAAAGCCACGAGACAAAAGTACTAGGGACCCGTGACATCATTACCAATAAGTACCACTAATCTGGTGCATCAAATCTGATGCAGTCGGTAGCTGCAGGTAGACATGGAGTACATCAACTACTAGAGGCCCGAGACAGATGCAGTACTAGAGCCCCGAGACCGAGGACGAGTACGTGTAGTACTAGAGCCCCGAGACCGACAATGAGTACTTGTAATACTAAAAAACGGTACTTAGATCAGTCACATCTTGTTAGTAGGAAGCCTGCTCCACGTCCTGCTCCACGCTCAACGTCCTGCTCCTTCTTGAGATCCATCTCCCCCTCTTTCTCTACAGCCACCTCCAGCTCCACATCCAGGCTCCATGAACAACTTCAACTCGAGGACCATCTCCAGCGCCGGGTTCAGGTGGTCACGGCGTCAGGATTCACCGCTGATCTACTATCCACTTGTGCCTTGTGGAGAAAAATGGAAACTGCATTGATCTCTCGTCTTCTCGGGGCCAAGCTAAACTGGACCCCACGTGCATACTCACTACTATTGGCTACAAACTAGATCCTTCGATCCACTGCACCCTGGGTACATGAACACTGGGTGTGGGTACAACCCAGATCATTTCCCCCCTCGACGGCGGCGACGACCTGCCTGGCGAATTTCCGTCGCATCAATAGGGTCTTCCGGTGCCAGTATGGCCCACATACGACGTGCCAGCGAATTAGCCGGGGAGGATGCCACGAATTGACGAACAAATTGCGGAACGTCTTCGTAAATCACCGAGGCCGGTTCCCAAGATGCTTCTTCTGGGTCCAGGCCGATCTATTGCACGTGTATCTCCCACTGCTGTGCGACTTGACCAAGTCTGCACTCAAGCAACTTATCGACGAGATGCCCTCCTTCGCCATGTAGCGCGTGCGCGATCAGGTCTTCCGTTACTCCACGCTCAGAGTCACGATAAAATTTTAATCGAGAGGCGTGACGAGCAACGACATTGTAAGGTGCGCACAGGTCTTGCACCTCGAATGTGTAGTCATTGAGAGATCGCACCACCCGCTTCGGGCCACGCCAATGCAGAGCGAGTTTGTTGCCACCCTTGACGGCTGTTGCAGCCAAGACAAAATCACCGATAGAGAACTTCGCCATTCGAACTCCAGGTTTGTTTGCACTGCGGCCACGTGCTTGAGTATTCCTGCGCGGCGAGGTCGCTGAGCTTTGCTGATGGATAGCATCCAACGCGGTTCGAACTTCCCGAAGGTGCTGCTGCTGCTGTTCTTCGAACCAGGAAATAGAGCAATTATCAGCAAACGACGGCGGAAAAATAGCATTTAACTGCGACGACCCTGGTAGCCCCGTGAAAGCGGTAATTGGCGCAATTCCACCAAGTCGATCTGAAGCCATACCATTAAGAGCTGCTTGAACGAGCGGTAAAATAGTGGGTCACTGCTTGATTTGCATCTTTAGCTCGCTGAGAAGAGCTTTCAGACTGCGCAGCAACAGTCGGTTCACAACCTCAACTGATCCAATCGCCCACGGCGAATATGCAGTGACAAAGAGGTGTTGCGCTCCCAGAATGTGGCGCAATCTGTTGATCACTTCCCCCGTGAAATGGGGTCCTTGGTCAGAGATCCACATGTGAACAACTCCAAACCTCTTGAACCACTCGATTAACCCATGATAGGCAGATTCTGCCGTGGCTCTATCGCACTCGATGAGCTCCACGTATCCACTCATGTTGTCCTTGAGGACAAGAGCATAGCACGTGGAGTTCTCGCTGCGCGGTAGGGAAAGAAAGTCGAAATGAAGGAGTTCGTTGGGTTTGGTGGCTCGCAACGTTTCACCATACGGTCGCGGTACTTTCTTGCATAGCCAGTTGACGCATCCGTGCCAAATGTGCAAACTCCGAAGGCGCCCCTCATCTCGATAGTAAGTCACCCCAGACGTTATCTTCACCCCGGATGTGCTCGATTTCGTACTGGAAACAAGTGAGAGCCATTGCCCATCGCTGCAACTTGTCTGCCTGGTAGCGCTGCATGTTGCTGTCGAAGCCGTAAGGGTTGAAGATGTACACTAAGTTACGGTGGTCGGTATACAGACGGAATCCGCGCGGTCTCATCAACAAATACTCCAACCTCTTGCACGATTCCATGAGAGCGAAAGCCTCTTTTTCGATAGTAGGCCAGCGATGTGACGAACCACGAAAATGCCCACTGAGAAATGCTAAAGGCTGATGACGCTGCTCTGCAAGAGGCTTATTCGCATCTTCTAGTGGCAGTTGCGTCAAGACCGATCCCCAATGGTCGAGACTGGCGTCGGCGACCAACACAACGTCCCAGTCTGGCTTCGGGTGGGCGAGAGGCACCATCCCCAGGAGCTTACTCTTGACTTGGGCTAGACTTTCCTCTTCTTTTTCCCCCCAGCCGACACTAGCCAGCGAGATTTTGGCTAGTTTTCGTTTGGTTCGAGCGCCGCTGACTTGCATAGCTTTCTCCAGGATATCATACAAAGGAGCAGTGACACGAGCAAATTCAGGAATACTTGCTAGCATCCAATTGACTACACAAACAAATTGTTGCAGTTCGGAAGCTGTCGAAGGTGACACCATATCCACTAGCCCTTGAACTCGTTCAGGACTGTGCGCGACTCCTGCAGCAGAGATGACTTTGCCACACCATGTGACTTCCGTCACGAAGAACTGACACTTGACAGGATTGAGCTTTAGCCCATACTTGGCACAGCGCTGAAAAACTGCCTCCAGTAATTCCATGAGTTCCTCTTCCGACTCCGCGTAACGCAGGATATCATCCAGCCACACTAGTACCCCATGATACAACAGGTCGCCAAAAATCAACTCGACCACACTCTGACAGTAGGCAACCGCGTCTTTCGCACCCATTGGGACGGGAGTCGGTGTATACATGCCACGATGAGTCATGAAAGTAAAAATCTCCTGCGAGTCCGGGTGTAATGGCAACTGCCAGTACCCTCGAAACCAATCGCAAACGAAAAATACCTTTGCGCCAGCAACATGCGTGAAGACGACATCCAGTTGCGGCATTGGCCACTGCATGCCTATAGTCAGCTCGTTGACAGGCCTTGAATCGATACACATCCTGAAATCAGCGGGAGGTGGCTTAGGCACAATGCGGGGTGCTGATGCCCAACGACTATTGTAGTTTCTGTACACGAGTCCCAAATCTCCGAGTTCAGCGAGATGAGCGTCCATGAACGCTCGCTCCATGGGAGCATAACGGCGGGCAGAACAGCGCACTGGTATAGCGTGCGGCTGCAACTGCACACGTAACGGAGGTACATCAACGGGAGGAGTGAGTCCAAAAACCACGCAAAACTCCGCTTTGTGCTGTTCCAGCGATGTTTTCAGCATATCCAACGCATGTCCTTACAAGCCTCTCGAATGAGCATCATCAATGGCTTGTAAAAGCCGCTCACGGACTAATTCAGCATTCTTTTCTGCATTTTTCGTCTCGGGTAAGAACGCCCTCGATTCAAAACGCTCATCCGGATCGGGTGCAGTGCTCGTAGACTCGTCATGCCCCGCATCTTCGAAGCAAGCAATCTCGCGCAGCTGCTGAGCTCTCATCAGTGGTGACTCGGAGACATTGTTACCCGTAGGAAGCACATACTCCAGCTGCTTCTCGAGTGCCGAAACCAGTAGACCGTCCGTAGAGTACCCCAACGCCACCATCACCGATCGACCTACTGTCAACGACATCGTGAGGTCCGATTCGTCAATCCAGCACTCTAAGTTGCGCAACACGAGCGGCCCAGCTGATGTGTGCAGAACTACCTTATCGAAGTTATCTTGTTCGTACAACTTCACGGTGCCCGGACCAAAAGGTTCAAATTCCTGGGGCGTCTATCGTTTAATCAGCGGGACGTAACAGCCTTGCTTGTGTAATTCAGAGACAAATCCCTGCGAAACAGAGGAAGCATCTGCGCCTGAGTCCAAAAGTGACACCTTCACAGTCAACCCCAGCACTGTTGCGTCCACGGTTCCATGATCACCAACACCCTTTCTCTCTGCGTGCTCCGTCGCCGCATCCGACCCATCCGTACGGTCATCCGCTGTTGGCAATCGTTTCATTGCAGCCGGCGGCGGCTTTGACTCCTTCGGTTCACGTTGCCGAGCCGCGTAAAATTCACCAAAAAGGCGTTTGGCGTCTCCCGGCTGCACCTGAGGGCAATCCCTCACTCTGTGCTCCCTAGACTGGCACTTTAGACACGGCCAACGAAACAGCTTCTTCGACGCTTGGGTCCCTGTGGCGGACTCTGGCTTGGCCGTGAGCTCCTGTCGCTGCGGGGGCGTCTTGAACGGAGCAGCAGCCGCGCTGCCTGGTACAGTGTGCCCTCTCTGAGTTTATGCATGATGCAGCGGCTTGGTATTGCTGCTTTGCTGCAGCAGAGGCTTCTCCCATACCATGAATGAAGCCAAACGTGAAGTAAGCCACCGCGAAAACTCGATGACATTCGATTTGTACTTCTTGTTCTGCTCTTGGTCAATCCGACGCTGGACCTCGCTCTTGAACGACGCTGGGGCGAGAGCTGCGACCAAATACTTGACAATTTCTTCTGTTCACGTTCAAACATGATGTCCACCATATTGTGGTCCTCCAGTATCTTGTACAAATTAGCTTGCAGCCGGTTGACACGGGACTCAGCCTCCGCTAACTTAGTATCCATTGACAACTTCTGCATGTCGGCGTCCAACGCAGCATAATCTTCAAACGCTGTCTGCTTCGACTGCAGAAAATACTCCACCCACTCATCTTCGGTCACATCTTGCCAGTCTTTGGCGAAGGTGAACCGCGCAATGAGCTCTTTCGTGCCCTGCTCGATACACGAACCCACGGGTTGGGACGAACGGGCGATTGTGCTCCGTCTGGAAAGCTCTCAGCGCAGCAAAGTAGGTATGATACGCCCGTAAAAAGTCGCGACGCTCCTGCATGGAGCTCCCCTTGTAACGAGGCGGCTTGGGCAGCGCCGGAGCATTCATAATCGGCCCGAAATCACCACTCACGTCCTCCATCGTCACATCGCTCTTTGCCGGAGACGCTTGCGGGATGCTGCTCTGGCTAGGTCGGCGGTCAAATGGGTTTACGATAGGTGTCGAAGAGCGACGTGTCCTCTCGGTGCCCGTTCCTTCCGTCCTAGCTGCAGCAGCTCGACTTCCTCGGAGACTCAACCGCCGAAACGTCTCGACGAACTGGTCCCCCTCCGACATGGTCCCCTAGTCAATTCCGATAGGAACTAAAGTATACTTTGATCTGTCTTCCTCGACTATCCACTTGTGCCTTGTGGAGAAAAATGGAAACTGCATTGATCTCTCGTCTTCTCGGGGCCGAGCTAAACTGGACCCCACGTGCATACTCACTACTATTGGCTACAAACTAGATCCTTCGATCCACTGCACCCTAGGTACATGAACACTGGTGTGGGTACAACCCAGATCAACCGCGATCACAAGGATGCCAGAGACCTTCACGTGAAAAAACATAGGATGATAATAGGAAATGATGTCTCCAGCCCGTAGTTGCTGCTCCCCATTCTCCTTGATCAACGCAGCAACACTGGGAAGGCGGTGGTGGGCCTCCATTCACAGCCCAGAGACAGCCACATCACAGTCGCGGTTGAGTAGTAGCTTCGCGAAGAAGAGGCTGGCAGAAAAGTAGGTAAAGTGAGGAGGAGGAGGAGTTACGGTCGGCGGCCAAGCGTAATTGGTAAGTGGCTGCTCGGAATGATTAGATGTAGAGACGTTGGTGACTAGTACTGCAACACTAGCACTGCATCTACTCGGTGTCTGTCTCGGATCTCTAGCACTGCATGTACTCGGTGTCTGTCTCGGGCCTCTAGTAGTTGATGTACTCCATGTCTACCTGCAGCTACCGACTGCATCAGATTTGATGCACCAGATTAGTGGTACTTATTGGTAATGTCACGGGTCCCTAGTACTTTTGTCTCGTGGCTTTAGCATTTCCCGGCACGTCATGGCCCGCGTCTTGGAGTTAGGCATGAGGAGGGCGCCGCCCTTGGGTTCGCGCCAGTGGGCTGGCGCCAGCAAGGTCACTCAAGAAGCGGGCGAACATGTCGCGACCGAGGTATGAAGCATGAAGATGCCCAGCGGGCTGCGGCAGTGAGCACAGCGCTCTTGAAGGCCTTGAGAAGCAGTGAAGGCATGGCTGCGGGGGCCAGGGCGAGTAGGGCCGCGGAGGCCAGCGCAGTGGTGGCGCGGCAAGACGTGTGGTGTGATGTCACTAAAGTAAATTTGTAAATAGTGACACCCGAGAAGCTGCTGTTACCGAATAATGCTGTTGCAGACTAGCCAGTTGCTAATACACATGTACCGACTGTCGATACATACATAGACCTCTTGCCTCAAGACGCCGATAGTAGCTCGAGTGTACGCGGCCGTGGATGTACGCGTCTCGGAGATGTCTGCTCTTAGCTTAGTGCCTCCCACATCGAGGAACGCATCCTACAGTACTGCTCGATGATCATGAGCAACAGGATATTCATGCTATGACGGAGTTATGTCGTCGTCGTAAGGTATACAAATGTTCATGGGTAGTTCATCATGATTAAGCTTAGCGGTTTGCGCTGGTGCGATGATTATTACATTGGCTTGGCCAGTCAGGACCCCTGATCAAAGGAAAATTCTGTGCACCAGGCCAGTATAGATTACGTGCAGTCACCGCAGATTTGGCCTTGCGTGTTTAATAGAGGCTAGTCAGGAAACCTTGCAAGGAAGGAGAAAACCTGTTCACCGTTGGTAAGTGTGCTGCAGAATATCACGTTGCAATGAGTGGCTATTCAGGAAACCTAATGAGGATAAAACCTGTTCACCTTAAAATTGTTGGCAGTATTAGCGTTGCATTCTTTTGATTTAGCAGATAACGTTACTGTTTGTTTGCAGTAGTTTAGCTTTGCTTTTGGTGATGCAGTTGGAATTCATTGCAGTATCATGACTACTCAGGAAAACCTAAACTAGGAAAAACCTGTTTCGCCGTTCAAGGACATCGTACTCATAAGATAACCATGAAGGTTGAGGAGGTTGTCGTCTCACCCGCATATTATGGTTGAAAAAGGGGCTATGGCTTCCCATATTCACAGATTAATCTATAGTGTGGGCTTGTCCACTCTAGTGACATTCGCCTTTCGACGTGTTAATGTCGCTTTACTTCTCCACTTGGCTACCACACACTGTTCTTGCTTTCTAATGGGTTTACATCCATGTCGCATCAGACAGAAGCTTACATTGCAGATCGAAACGTTGCATGTAGTAGTTCAATAATACGCAGTCGTAGTTGTGGTAATAGAGAGTGCACTCGTTCATTGTCTTACAGATAGATTGTGTGCAGTGGCAAGCTGGTTTCAAACATCAACAATGTCTACCGGTAGTCTGGGATAGACAGAGGCTGTATAAGCTTGTCGTATTTATTCACGGAAATATACTTGGCAGAGGCTTAGTATGAGTGCCGTTTTAATGTTCATCAAGGACAGAAGTCTTTTACACTTGTCATTAATCTCATGATGTCGTATGAGTGATCGAAAGAAGCGTAGTGTTCGTGCTTGTTATAGATTTTTGACAGCGGTCATTTTCGAGCGTCAAGATGTACGATGTTTTTTTTATTGGAAAAGGTTATTGAGTTACTTGCATGAGCTGAACTCTAATATCCTTGTTGCAGCGTAAGTGATGAGATCACCATTCTGCGGTGTGTTCTGTACCCTCGACGAATTATCCAGTGGCTTGTGTTGAGAGCCGTACATTCTCTCTCTCTTTCCAATGCTCCACATCGTTTCTGAGGTACTCCATTGTGCCATGAAAATGTCGTTGTAGGTGCTCTCGACTGGGTTGCGAGATCATTTTGCTCTTCCTCGTGTCCATTGCTAGGTTGGCGAGAGAGTCCGCCATTTTGTTGTGTGCCCGGTAGTGGTGAGTCCACGATTCAACCCTGACTCTGTCGGCCAACCTTCGACATTGCGTGTATTTTCCGCGCAAACCTTGTGCTTTTGGCTCTCTCCGTTCTTCCATCATGCGTAGGATCAACTTACTATCCCTTACTACGTGAAGTCCGTATAGTTGCTGAGAGGCCGCATAATGTAGCAGTTGGTGGAGACCGTTCAGTTCCGCCCGATTGTTAGTAGTGCTGGTCCGGCCAAGCGAAACACAGCTGATCCATACGATTGTAGGCTCGGGATTTCCGGGCGAGAACTCCACCAGCACGCTGCCACTGCCCCCTGGTCCAGGATTTCCTCTTGATCCTCCATCAAAGAAGCCCAGAACCGTCGTACGAGATGGAAGCATCGCTTCCTGCGTAGATACGTTACTTTCAGTCAGCAACTGATACGCAATTTCTGCTGCACAGCGTTCTTGGAAACTCTGCGGCGTTACTGGTATTCTGCTACGGAGCCGACTGTATGCCTCCTTTAGTCTTTGGCTGAGGCCTATACTCCATGCTGCGATTGACGTCACCGTAGATGCTGAAGGGTGAGTCATTCCTGTTCTTCTCCGCCATATTATGTGTGCTGTCGTGGCCACCCCCAGTCTCCACATGCGTTGTACAATCGTGTACAGGTGATCCAGTGCTCCCTCCGTGACTTGCGAAGAATTATCGCTGGCGGCGTCCACGCACTTCTCCAACATCAGTGTGGGTACCTGAATCAGCTGCATGCTGAAGATTTTTTTTATGTTAGTCCTAACGGAAACTTGCTTTCGCCCTGCTGTCTCCCATTGCTTCAAGAACACTTGCCATAGGTGCTGCGCTGTAGGGCAGTTCCAAACCAGGTGCGAGAGGGTTAGTTGATCCATGGGATCACAGCATTCCTCCATACACCTCTTGTCCCGTAGTCTTCTAGTCTTGATTCTATACATGGTCTGGAGTTGAAGATGTACGATGTTAATAGTAAGACTTATACACATTTAGTGCGTGTTGCTTTGGCCAAATGCGGTATATTCATGCATGTATTTGTCGGATGCGTACTTCTCGTGCATTCCTTACTACTTATATAACAGTAGATATAAGCGAAAGTCGTGCTTGCAGTTTCGTTAACGAGGCGTTTGTACTTTACGTGCCAAGTATGACATGAGCGATAGAATTCATGCTCTTAAACTCATTCGTTAATCGACGATTCGCCTTGCCATAGTGATAAGCAGAAGTAACGTTGCCATTTCAGACAAAGGCGTAGTTCGGCCTTGTCAAATTACGCTATCCGACAGAGGCAGATTTCAGGCTTGTCATGTTGAAGAAACAAAGCGTAACTCTCATCAATGAGTTTGACTGATGTGGTATTCGTGCATATCTTGTCATGTTTACCGGTAGATGCGAACTTGTTGTGCATGCCTGGAGATTAAAGACATAAGCGTATTCGTGCTTGTCTAATGGGCGAGCAACGGGACTTTTGTCAAGACAACCCTCTTAGAATAAACCAGAGTCATCGTTCTTCATGCATATCGCATGGTGTTCAATTTGGGAATACCGATCGGTAAGCCATTTGAGTGGCATGTTTTGCCGATGCGTGGTTAGATGACATGAAGGCCCGTCTAGTATAGCATTAGCGCGCCGATGGCTTTACGGCTGAGGCGTTTGCCAGAAGCAACTTCACATTCGCATGTGGGGCAATATTCAGGGCTTATTCCTTCCTGTTTTCGTGGGCATTGAGCAAGTTCGGCGAGTCAGCATTGCTGCTCTCATAAGCTATCTCGCTGGTATTGGGGATTAGCCTCCCAGCTTGGCAAGTGGCTAGCTCATGACATTGCGTTTCACGCAGTTAAATAGCTCTGGGATTGACATCCAGGCATTACGGTCTCCCATTTCTCGGATGTGCATTTGCACGTGTCATCGAGTGGTCGTCTGGCACGGGGATTTCATCCGGCCGGCGCGTCGGCAGGACATCGACATCGGCCATGGAATATGTTTGCGCAGATTAATCGTCCGGCTGGTTCGTGTGTCGCTTGTCGTGCCTTGCTTCATGTCGGCGCTTGTCGCGGGATGCGCTGAGTTGGGCAGCAGTCTGGTTGGGCCGTCTCCTTGTTGATCGCGTCCACATGCAACACCAGAATCTTCATCACAGTCGGTGAGCGGAGCGGCTGCACGAATTGGCATCGCCACTACACCGTGGTTGAGGTGCTTGTCATCGAGTGCCGTGCACTTGCGGGTCTTCCTCACAGGAACTGGTATGGCGCGGGATGTTGTCGCTTGAGGCTTAGCTTGAGCTCATAACCTA